CCACGTTGTTGGCCTGGGCAGAACAGGGATGGTGAGAACGCCAGACACCCCACCCCTGAGCCCACCTCCAGTCCCTCACCATGGAGGAGTATCCACTGCTGCTCCCACCAAACACCATGCCCGGACTTTGTGCCTGAAAGCCATGCTTGTCATGCTTGCCCTGCCCCTCCTGCCTGACTCGGCAACTCAGTGTCCCCTCTTGCAGCCACAACAGCCTGTGGTCAACTCACAATGCTTGTGTCCCATCCAGTGAGGAAGAGGCGGTAGGTGAGGAAGTCTGCCTTGCCCGACTCGGCCATCTTCTGCTCCAGCGAGGCAAGCAGGTCATTGAACCAGGCGAAGGCTCCTGTGTCCCGGCAGAGCCAGTAGAAGTAGATCTGGGATGTAAGGGGAGAGGGGTTTCTCAAGGTGGAGCAGAGACAGGGGTGGAAGGATGCAATGCCAAGGACTGGGAAGCCCAGCATGGAGAAATCTGCAGTTGGTCCCATGGGACACCCTGTACCTTCTTGGTCTTGAGGGTCTGGTCACCCTGCTGGAACTTGTACCAGATGGACTTCAGGATGGAGGCGAAAGGGGTGACGCCGATGCCTGCTCCCACCAGCATGGCCACCTCGTACTGGAACACGTCTTCACTGGCGGTGCCAAATGGCCCATCCACCTCGATCCTGGCCAAGGGAGGGCCTGGGTGAGAGGTGTGGCCTCCCCAAATCCCTGTGATGGACTGTTGGGGCACTCTCCAGCCTACCTGGGCGTCTCTGACTGGAAGGTGTCAATGAGACGCTCTGTCCAGTCGCCAGCCATCCGGATGTGGATGGAGAAGAAGTCCTCTTCGGGTGCAGAGGTGAGGGTGAAGGGGTGCCACTCCAGCGGGGAGATGGCGGGGCAGTTGACGAAGATGTACTGCCCCACCTCCATGCGGAAGCCCTTCTTCTGCATTTGCAGCTCCAGCACACGGGCAGGGTGCATGACCACCTGGGGGCACAGACGGGGCTCAGCACCCAGCCTGGCTCCTGTCCCTGGAAAGAGGCTGTGGCCACCACCCCTGCCCACCTCCCCACAGCCACCAGAGCGAGGAGCTGTGGCACCAGAGACTGCAAGGGAAGGAGCTGGGGTAGGAACAGGCTCCTGCACCACCCACCTTGGTGACAACCACCTTCTGCCGCGCACGCCAGACCCGGAGGATCCGCTCAAAGACGTAGAGGATGATGGGGGCCAGAACCCACTTCCAGGACTGCGGGGATGGAGGAAGGCAAAGGGTTGGGGAGGACCAGGGCTGGAGCCTCCCGCGGGAAGGGTTTCTTCCCTTGCCCCTATTCCAATGCTGCCCTACCTCAGCAGGAATGCTCCCAAACTCAGGGTCTTTGCAGCAGTCGTGAGTGCAGTTCTGGTCCCTCTGCGTGAGGTACGGGGCGCAGCGACGAGGGTGCACCTCTGCCATGCTCTGCTCTGTCTGCCCACGCACCAGCCCACTGCAAGGAGGTGAGAGGTGAACCTGAGGGCCAGCTCCTGCCTCCCAGCCAGGGCTGAGCTGCGCTGCACAAGGCCAGCCGGGCTAGCCCACCATGGGAATGGCAGTCCACAACCCCACAGGGGCTTTGCAGCCACTGCCCCTCACTATCCTGCCTGGGGGAGTGGTGAGGAGCCTTACGCGATGCCGTGGATGACAAGGCCAGCAAAGTAGACGAGGAAGAGGTGGTGTGTGTACCAGAAGACCTCGAAGTAGTTCCTGCGGATGAACTCGGTGGAGGACGTGACCATGAGGATGAGTGCCAAAGTGATGATGACCCCCGTCAGCCCTGGGATGGTCGTGAAAGCCATGTACTCCACGGTCTGCAGGGGCGGCAGGACAGGTTAGGGGGGCAGGGGATGGGTGGTGGCAGGGGGCTGGATGCCGAGGCTGTGCTCACCGTCTCGTTAGAGTGGATGGGGTTCAGCCACTTGTCACCCTGCAGGTGCATCTTAGAGAGGACTGCGGGGAGGCTGCCGTCGGTGGCTTGTTGGCTCTGGTTGTAACGCTCCAGGTTGAAGAGGTGGGCAATGGTGTGCACGGCTGGAGAGGGGACAGGCAGTCACCCACATGGCCGTCCCCCAGTCCCCACCGTACCCCAGCCCAGTGCAGGTGGTACCTGTGAGCAGGGCCAGTGCATAGGCCACCAGCTTGTGGAAGGTCAGGTTGTGGTCCAGCTGCTTCCGCAGTGTCCGCCTGCAGCACTGCAGGGAGAGGCAGTGGCATCAGGACGGGCACAGGGACTGGGATGGGGACGGCAACGCTGGCCATGCCACTGCAGGGCACTCACCGAGCAAGTCCCACGGAGGAAGGAGAGGAGGTTGCGGCAGACGGGCAGCAGGATCAGCATGCTGTTGAAGTTGAGGCATTTGGCTGATGCTCGAGCCCACGCCAAGGCAGACTGGGGAGAAGAGAGGGGTGAGCACCACCCTTGGTACTGTAACTGGGAATGGCTCAGGATGGGGCCAAGTGATGCTGAACTGGGATTGAGTGATGCCAGCCTGGGGACTGGGAGGGAGCAATGCCAGACTGGGATGGGGACTGGGAAGGGAGAGGCTGAACCAGGAGAGGAGGACTGGGAGGGGGTGGTGCTGGACTGGGCTGGGATGTTGCTGGGCTTGGGACCAGACAGGGATCAAGATAGGGACCAACAAGGAGCAATGCTGGGCTGGGGATTGGGATAGAATGGTGGTGGACTGGAAGAGGATAGAACAAGGAAGGGGCATGGGATGTTGCAGCCCCCACCCCACACTCTCCAAGAGGCATGTGTGCCTGGGCAGGCAGGGTGCTGTGGGAGAGCACCTTACCCCGAGGATGGCCCTGGTGTAGAAATATCGATCGTCTTGGTCAAAGAACAGAAAGTAGTATGTGAAGAGGAAGATGTTGATGCCCAGCCAGGCTGCCTGTGGGGAAAAGTCAGCCTCATGAAGGACCCTGGCTAGAGAGCCCCTCACCCTGCAGCATGCAGGTGCAGGCACAGCCAGAGGGTGTCAGGACAGCACATCCCCTCCTCTTCCCTTATTAGCTGCAGCATCATGCATAGGTCTGGGACAGAGGGCCAAAGGTGGGGAGAGGTGTGGAAGCCCTGTGAAATTACTGTCTTGTCATCCACAGCCCTCTGCATCACTCATGAATGAGGAAGGAGGAAAGGCAGGAGCAGGCAACACCCGTGTAACGGGAAGGCAGGTCTGGAGGATGGTTCACCTAGCCCCACCATACCCTGCCTAACCCCACTGCACCCCACACTGGCCCCTCTCACAGCCACTGACTTTTTGCAGAGCTCCCCATAAAAACACTCTGCCTTCTATTTGTTTTTTGGTTTGTTTGGGTTTTTTTTAGGTAACTTAAAATAGTCCAACTTTCTGTAAACTCCCATTTCCCCATGTATTCATAGCTCCCCATGCAGTGCCAACCAGTCGATGGGTCCTGGCCAGGCATGCCCTGTTACACTAGTGATGCCACAGCACAGCACTGGCAGACGGTCCCTATGGACCATCTCCGTCTCCTCACCCTGGCATGGGTTCTCACAGGATCCTTCTGCTCTCATGAGGGGAGAAGAGCCATGTGGGAGGCTCCCAGACAAAGTGGGCAAGATAGCAGCATTTTTTAGTTTTCCAGGACCTCCCTTTCCTCTAAGTTGCATTTCCCTTAAGAGTTCAGTTTTCCAGACCCCCTGCCGGGGTATGCAGGTTGGCTGAACAGACGGGACGCTTCTCTCTTCCCACAGCCCAGCCCCCAGACAGCCCATCAGCCCCCATCTTTCCCACGAGCCCCCCAGGGCCTGTAGCCCCCACAGCCCCCTGCACTGCCCTACCCCTGTGAGCCCCCCAGCCCAGACACTCACGAGGACGGCGGCCGAGAACCAGTGGTTGACCAGCCAGTTGCCCATGGCGCGATGTCCCTGCTCCTGCCGCTGCCTGCCCGTGCCTGCCGCTGCCTGCCCGAGTTTTATGGAGGGAGCAGGCGGTGCGGCAATCCCAGCTGCGGGAACTGCACAGCGGGGACTTTCCCCTGAGAAGCCTTTGAGGAAATGCAGGTAGTTTCAAAGGCCACCTTTTCCAGGAAGGCAGGGCTGACCTCATCGGCCAACCCCAAAACCAGCCCCCTGCGCTGGCCGGGGATGGCCCCCAGCTGAAGGTCCCCTCGGCACACACGGCTGGGTGCGGGAGGGCATCAGGCTGCTGCTCTTGGGGTTTTGCAATCTTTGAGGACCAAAATGGGCTTCTTTTAAGGTAGGAATTTCCTGGCGGGAAGAAGTTGCGGAGAATCCATCCTGTGACCAGCTCAACTGATGTGCTGTTTCCTGACCTCCCTCACCAGTCTCCACTGCCCCTGTTTTACAGAAAAAGTGCTAAAGGAGGAGAAGCATGCGGGGGACACTGTGCCAGTGCCAGAATCTGGCCCAGGGATCCATTACAGGGCAGGTGAGTTAAAACGGAACACCAGCAGTGCTGCATCTCTGTGAGCACCAGGGGAGATTGTTCTGCTACCCAAACTGAGCTGACCGCATAAATGGGTACTGGGGGAGTGGGGTCACACTCCTGGTTTGGGGCCAGGATGCCTGGGTCCCATCAGCATCCCTGCTGTTGTGCCAGCCATCTTTCCCCTCCTGCCTGCCCTCCACTGGAGGCCTCAAGCTCTGCAGTGCCCAGCACTCCAGCTAGGAACAGCAGCCAGTGCCAGGGCCCTGAGCTTGGAGGAACAGGTTGGACAGGATTGCTCTTTGCTGGCATTCTGGTTTCTTCTGGCCCACAGCCATGGCCACGCTGACGGAAGTGCAGGATGAGGCCAGCCGTCATCTCACCATGCTCCTGAATCTTACCAGCTCCACTGAGGGTTTTTCTCCCCCATCCCCATATCCCTCTGGGGCAGCCCCGTTTCAGTGCCCATGAACATGAGGGTTATGTGGACAGCAGGTGTGTGCACCCGTGCCAGCCCTGGCGGGACAGTCCCCACCCTCTGCATGAGTCACTGCCAGCACCCAGACACGCAATCACAGCAAAGTTTCTTTACTGCTTAAAACAGTCCCAATGGCACCCATGGCCCCAGGTCACAGTATACATCCTAGCAGCAGGTGGGGGTGTAGGGGCACCCCAGGGGCTGTGCACTGCACAGCAGCCAGCTTGCAGCAGCAGGTGGTTTGGTCACCCCACAAGTCCTTAAATTGTAGAATCACAGAATAGTTTGGGTTGGAAGGGACCTCTAAAGGCCACCTAGTCCAATTCCCCTGCCATGGGCAGCGATATCTTCACCTAGACCAGGTTGCTCAGAGCCCCATCCAACCTGGCCTTGAATATTTTCAGGAATGAGATGTCCACCATCTCTCTGGGCAACCTGTGCCAGTGCCTCACCACCCTCATTGTAAAAAACTCCTTTCTTGTATCAAATCCAAATCAACCCTCCTTCGTGTCCATATGCATGGTCCTGGGCAGATGAGCACATTCCTGTCCCCCTGCCACTGGGACCCGCTGCCACTGCAGAACCAGGCAGCACCTGGCTCATGCCACAAGCATCTTCCGACTGCTGGTGCAGCCCAGTGCTGCCCATCCCCATGCCTGCAGTCAGCTGGAAGAGGTGGGTGTTAGCTGTGCCTCAGACAATGCTGTGCCTCACACCGGGCTCAAAGGGTGCCTCGAGGCACAGCGGGGTCCCTGGTGGGTGCCGGCGGCAGCAGACACAGTGCAGGAAGTCAGCGACGTTGTGCCGGAAGAGCTGGCGGCAGGGATGCAGGTACTGGAAGAAGAGAAGCATGAAGTAGATGCCCAGGCAGTAGCCGAGGAGCAGCTGCACTACCAGCAGTGGGGTGCAGACATTCTCGTAGACGTCTGTTTTGAAGAAGTACCAGAGGATGACGAGGGCCGTGTTCTCGGCCAGCCGGGCCACGTAGTACACGGCCAGGCGGCCCCAGTTCTGCGACTTGTCGATGAGGTCCCGGTCGGCCAGTTTGAGCTGCACGGCCGACCAGCAGAACATGTTGATGCTGGCATAGAGGAGGGTGAAGGCGCAAAGCACCACCACTGTGCCTACGTGGCTGAAGTTCTTCTCGATGTTGTCGGGCAGGCGGGTGCCACTGCGCCAGAACTGCACCCAGGGCAAGAAGAAGACCACCAGCAGGTTGGCCAGGGCAATGGGGATGATCCAGTGCTTGAAGACAGTGCTGAAGAGCACAAGGACGGCCACGCGGGTGGAGATCTCCAGGCTGCGCCACAGCACGATGCAGAGGAAGGCCAGTGGCCGCAGCTGGACCTTGTAGTCATCGTACTTAACCTGGATGGCCAGGATGTTGCAGACGAGCGCCCCGTAGGTGACCGACACCAGGCAGATGGCCATGAGGACAGCTGCAGAGGGACAGAGCAGGGGAGTCAGGCAGCATCAGGGACTGCACTGTGTGTCCAGCCTCTCTGCTGCCTGAGGTGCAAAGCCTGGGGTGCCAGCTCCATGTGGGAAACATGGGATGCCAATCCTGGGTGAGAAGTGCAGGGTGCCAAACCCTGGAGCTCGCAGCAGGAGGCTCAGTGTGAGCACTGCTGGGACAGGTCACGGCTGGTGGTGACAGTCCCCATGATGAGGTGGCTTTGAGAGGAGCTGCTGACAGCAGGAGGTTCTGCCTAGCTTGGGTAGCATGCAGGAGTGGGAGTTAAAAGCTTGCTCTGGCACATCCACCCCCAAGCACATAAACATCCTGGGAGCTTGAAAGGGAGCCTGGGAGTGGGAGTGCTGAGCTAGGAGCTCTGGCTGTTGGGAAAGGTACAGAAATAGATCCAGTGGAGGGACTGTAGGGAAGCCATAGCCTGTAGCTAGATGGAAAAAAACTAATGGAGGCTGGAGCAGCCTGGGGCAGGGACCTGACGTTTTTATGGGACAGGGCACTGAGGGGATGGCATGGCTCTGTAGGGCAGATACCCGCAAGAATTGGGGCTGGGAGCAGAGCCTGGCACCTCAGTCATGGTCAACTCTTCCCACTGTCTTCAGCTTTACTGCAAGCCGGAAAGCAGAGAGCTGATGAGTGCCCAACCTCTGTGGGTTTTGCTCCACATTTAGCAGAGTCCAGTGGCTGTTGTAATCTCAGAAACAACTGTTTGGATTGCTTGGATGCCACACTGGCACGCACAGCTAAGGAGCTGCCACTGTGCCCTGGTGGGGTTCCTAGGGAACCCACGTGCCAGGCACCCTTACCTCGGGCAACAGGGACGTACTTCTCCAGGACACTGATGTAGAGCTGGACGGTGAGCTGTGGGGTGGAGCCCAGGAAGGCCTGGATGACAGCCATGCGTTTGAAAGCATTGCGGTGTGTGGCCAGCCGGCGCTCTGAGTGTCCCACCTCCTGCTCCATCTCCACCTCGTAGCCTTTCCGCAGCCGCCGCTTGCGGGTGATGGTGACATAGGGCTCCTCCTCCTTCCCTGACTTGCAGTACACCAGCAGGGCCTCCAAGCACCTGTAGGGACACCGGAGATGTCACCCCACCAGCTGCCACCCTGCCAGCCTCTCCACTGGCCCCCAGCCCCACTCCTGGCAGCTCTACTATACTCTCCTGGTACTGGCCAGCCCTTCCTGCTGAATGCAGCCCAGCTGATTTGGGCAACTGACAACAGCAGTGCTGTGGACAACTCCTGGCCCTGAGATAGCAAGACAGTGGCAGAGTCACACCAGGATCATGAGGGTGCCTGGTGGCTGCTCCTCTGCTCCAGCACTCTGAGTGAATCATATGGGGCAGAGGGGCAACAGTTGCCCCAGTGAGGGGTGAAACTGTAAGAGCTGCTGCAAGAGGTGCAGCATTCAGGGTACAGAAACAATGGCTCTGCTGGGAGCTACAGCTACAGGAAGGTGTTAATCACCCTTGGGCTCTGTTTTCCCAACTGGCAAAACCTCTTCCTCTAAGCAGAGGGAAAAACTGTCTTTGATCTCTGCTCTTGAGCAGAAGAAGGCTTCCACGCTTCCTTCGTGGTGGGGACAGCAGGAAGGGGAGCGCAGGGTGAAGCTGTGTGTGACATGGGCAGATAAGACAGCCCTTCCGCAGGCCGTTTTCCGCGGGGCATCCTCACGTGTGGGTGGGGGTGTGACTTCCTCCTGTACTGCTCCCCACTGCAAGGGCAGGGGAACCCCCCAACCCCTCCACACCCAGCAATGGAGAGATGTACATGACAAGAGGCAATCAGCAGAGGAGGACTCATCCAACAGGCTTGGCTCACGCCTGGGGACCAGCTAGCCCTGGGACCAACAGGATATCATTATTTATGAGTGCTCACTAGGGCAGCAGAAATTTATGTGTATCAGACCCACATGGAATGAGGTTTTTGGATAAATTCTCTCAACAGATCAAGCCAGCGCACCTAGCTCATTGCAAACTCAAATAGGAAAACAGTTTCATCCCAAAGGCCCAGCTTCAAGGCAGTCCCAGGTGGCTCCTAGTGCCCTGCCAGACCTTCTCAGCAGGCTGGGTTCCATCTCCGGCCCGAGCAGACGGCTGAAGCAGCCGACCCAGGCGGCTCCAGCTGGCTCTTGCAAGCAGCCAAACTCCACCATAACTGTCTCAGACAGCCTCGGTCAGTGTGGTGAGACCCACGACACCATCGTGGGCCACCGCAGGCTGGCAGCACTGAGGTGAGGCCCCCCAGCGACCTCTGAAGACGGGATGTGGTGACGGGGACACCTCCAGCACTCTGCTTGTTTCTGGTGATGGAGGAAGTGGGGTGCAGGCCACCGTGTTTTTGCAGTTCTGTGGGCCCCAAAGAGTGGCTCCTGGCCCACCCCTGGAGATGGCAGCTCTGCCTTGTCTCCTTCCATGCATTCTCACTGAGAAGGGTGGCCAGGTGACAGCAGCCCAGGAAGTACTGCAGCATTCCCAAGGAATGAGAGGTCAGCACATCTCCAGCTTGTGCAATATCCACCCCCTCACTGTCTTCTTCCCAACACGATCCAGTGGCCCACCAGTTCCCACGCCAGCCCCACTCCTGTACCCAGCTCCTCTCCTCCATGTCCCATAACCTCACCTGTTCCAGGCCTGGGGACCTTCTCTGAGGGTGCTCCTATTCACCCTCGAGCACCCAGCCAGGATTCCCATCTGTGCTCTCAGAAAGGAGATGGCAAACCCCAGACGCTGGGAGAGCCTCTGGGTGCAGACAGGACTCTGCAAAGTGCCTTTCCAGCAGCTGGGATGCAACAGGATGGCAGAGCCACGTCCTGCCCAGACAGGGGTCCAGCAGGCAGGAGCGCCCGTTGAACCACTAGGGAGGGAGGGGGGAGTAGAGGACCCCCTGGAGCCGGGAGCAGCAGCAGCTCCGGGGAGGAGTGACGAGAAGCCGGCAGGAGCAGCACCGGGCGTACCGGACAGATGGCTGCTGACAGGCGGTTCCCGGGGCGCCCGTCCTGCCCGACACCGCTTCCCGTTCTCATCCGGTGCCCGCGGACGTGCCGGGGGTCTCTGTGTTCTTGCCGGGGGTCCGCGCATTAGTGCGGGGGGTCCCTGCGCCCCGCGCTGCGCTCACCTGATAATGGGGCCAAGCTGGAGCAGGTGCATGAGCAGAACGAGGGGGCGGTCGCGGCTGATGTCGCGGTGCACGAAGGTGAGGGTGAGCTGCACCAGGACGGAGGGGCAGAGCACGAAGAAGACGGTAAGCGCCAGCCAGAAGCGGTCGTCGGAGTGGCTGTAGGAGAGGCAGAGCACGGTGGCCGCCGCCCCCTCCCCGCAGAACAGTGCCGTCGAGAAGACGATGCTGAGCGGCAGCTTCGCCCGCGACGGGGCGGCGGCGGGCGGGCAGTCCCCGCTCGGGCTGTCCATGGCGGCCCCGGCCCGGCCCGGCCCGGCCCGGGCGCTCAGCCCCGCCGCGGCGCCATCCCGGGCTGCAGCGGAGAGAAGAGCCGCGCTGCGGGGCGGGACGGGGCGGGGCGGGGCTGCCCCGCCGCACCGAGCCCCGACGGGCGGCACCGCACTGGCACCGATCCGGGACCGCCCCGACGGGCCCCGACCCTCCAGCCCGGGGTCCCCGCTCCAGGTATCCCAGCCCCACCCTGCCCGCCAGCCTCCAGCGCTGGGACCCCCCGCAACTGCTGTATCGTGATCCCCAGCTGGCGTGGAGCCCCTTGCCCCAACAGCCCTGCCTTTGTCGAGGATCTTCTACCAAGGACTCCTTGTCTCTGCAGGGAAACCCCACCTCAGGACACCCTCACCATGGCCAGGCCCCCCTGCCCCTGCAGCACCCACCCTGGGACTCCCATTCCCCCAGCTATAGCCCTGTCAACCCCCATGCTATACCTACATGTGCTCTGGGGTCTCTGGGATCCTGATCAGGACCTCTCAGTCAAATCCTGGCCCAATCATGTTCTGCCATCTACCAGCACCCCAAGGTGCAGTAACATGGAAGGTCCCTCCAGGGGAGAATTGTCAGGCAGCTCCAGGGACAGCGGGGTCCCACTGTGGAGCAGGAGGGAATGCCAGTGTGGGTGCCAGCCCTGCCTGCATCAGCCAGCTGCTGAAGAGCTGCCTGCACCCACTGCTGCCTCAGATCTGAACCAACCTCCAGCTCTGAGGAGGGCATGTGGGGTCAGGGCACCCACCAGCCTGTGGCCCTGTGCCATGTGGGACAGCATGTGGGAGGAAGGGTATTGCCAAGAGAGGAAGCATTTTGGTATCTCGCAAGCCAAGGTGTGGCAGGGACACCCCTTCAGGTCTGGCAGGCAGCTTCATACAAATCTGTATCAAGATTTGGGTAGGATGTCACAGTGGAGATGTGGCTCCTATATGCTGAATGTTGCTGCCTCCAGGTAAGACGTAGTGAAGACCACCTTGGCCTTCAGATGAGCAACAGACTGCTTTTCCCATCACCTCCAAGGATCCTGCCTTCAAGGTGATGCATTATATAGACTTGCTGACAGAGCCAAACCTCCCATCGCTGAGCCCACCACTCAGCCCTACAGCCCTCTTGTCTGTCCCACCTTGGTCACCTGCACAGTGATGGGAACACAAGGCTGTGTGGGCTGCTCCCCACCTTGATGGCCATGGTGGTCCCTGCTCTGCCCAGCATATACAGTGCCCCAGCACCAGCCCTGCCCACCTTTTCCCCATGAGCAGCAGTGTGGACACAGGCAGGGATGCACATCCACTGTTTTACCCAAGCAACCACTGCCTGCCAGATCCCTCAATCCAGCCTGTGCACACACTGGCTGGCTGGAAGAGATGGGACAAGGCGAAGAGTATTTGACATTGGCCAATTTTTCCTGGTTTAGGCAGACCAGGAGTTTTTAGGTAACTTTTAAAAGGCACTTAGTACTCATCCCTCAGCAGCCAGGCCAGTGCAAGCCAAAAGCACAAAACCTCCCAAACCCCATGCATAAGAGTTTTTCCCATTATACCAGGCTGGAAGCATTACCAGAGCTTTTGGGCTTATCAGCAGCAGAGCTGGGAATAAAACTGCCTGAGGCCTTGGAGGCCGTGTCTGCCCCAACTGCAATTCCCACACAGAAGCAATCCCTGTCCCTGCAGCTGCTCATTGCTTTTCCTTCCAAGGATGGACAGCTGCTTCAGGAAACCTCAAACCCCATGAGCTCATGGGGACTGACCTGACCGCTGGGAGATCTACGTGTGACAGCTCAGTTCTGGTATGATAGTTACATATTTTCAAGCTGTTTTTGGAAAGCAGCCTCTCCAAAAAAAACCTCCAGCAGGGCAGAGTGTGAAGGGAAGTGTCTAAAACACAGGAGCCTGCCACCAGCCAGGGGCCAGCTGGGGTGGGAGCTGTGCAGAGCAGCAGCTGTGCCCAGCTGGGTGCTCAGCCAGTGACGGCATGTCATGCGGTGCTGCCAGCTGCACCCACAGCTCTGTGAGAGCAGCAAGAGTAATGCACCCTTTGTGCCATTTATGAAACTTCCACTTATCCAAATTAAAAGCATTCCCCAGGAGTCTGGCAGGTCACCAAGCCCTCAGCTGAGCAACGCCTCCACTTCGACTCATTGTATTTTTAATTTCCCCTGCTTCATGATGAAATAGTTAAGAGCAATGGTTTAAGCAAGCAAGAATTCCAGTCCTGTATCCATAAACCCCAGCAGCCACCAAAAGGAATGGAGAGACAAAGCCTCACAGCACTTTCCATACCAGTTATTATCCCATTTTCTGACCCAAGCACTAAGAGGCAGCGGGCTGTTCACGCCATGAGTCACCCCTGCAGCCTGACCCCACCTGTCCACAGCATAGCACTGTAAACAGCAAATAGGCCATAAAAAGATCTGTGTCACAGGTAGCATCAGCCAGGGATCCTGTCCCACTGCCCTGCCACTCCCTGTCCCTGCCAGCTCCTCTCCTGCACCTCTGCCTGCGAGCCCAGCACAGCTGGGGCTGCACAGACACCCCAGGACACCACTGTCACAGAGCAACTGCCTGACCCAGGGCTGTCACAAGCCAGCAGGGCGCTGGGGATGTCCTACCCAGTTGTTCCTATATACAGTGGCTGGATCCTGGGTGGCTGCTGGCTGGCTTTGTTCTGAGTCCTCGCAGGAGCAGAACAGCCCCTGGGCCAGTGGAGATGAAGTGACATAGAATCATAGAATACTCTGAGGTGGAAGGGACCCACTAGGATCATTGAATCCAACTACTGGCCCTGCACAGGACAGCCCCAAGAGTCACACCATGTGCCTGAGAGCATTGTCCAAATGCTTCTTGAGCTCTGTCAGGTCTGGTGCTGTGACCACTGCCCTGGGGAACCTGTTCCAGCACCTGACCATTTTCTGGGTGAAGAACCTTTTCCTGATATCTAACCTAAACCTACCCTGATGCAGCTTCATGCCATTAAGTGACATCCAAGATGGTGTGAAACTACCCTGGAAGTGCCCATCAGGATATAACTGAAGGTGCCAAACGGAGGGGGACTGTGCTGGCTTCTCATCTGCCTGTATCACCAATAGAGTGGCAGCAGGATAAGGACGATGATTGTCCCCCTGTACTGGGCACTGCTGAGGCCACACCTCAAATCCCGTGTTCAGCTTTGGGCCCCTCACTTCAAGTAAGACATTGAGGGACTGGAGCATGTCCAGAGAAGGGCAACAAGGCTTGTGAAGGGTCTAGAGGGTAAGTCAGGTGAAGAGAGGCTGAAGGAGCTGGGGGGACTCAGCCTGGAGGAAAGGGGGCTCAGGGGAGATCTTATTGCTCTCTACAGCTACCTGAAAGGAGGTTGTAGGCAGGTGGGGATCACTCTCTTTTCCCAAGTAATAAGATACAGGACAAGAGGAAATGGCCTCAAGTTGTATCGCGGAATGTTTAGATTGGATACTAGGAAACAAATCTTCACTGAAAGGTCAATCAAACATTGGAACAAGCTCCCCAGGCAAGTGGTGGAGTCACCATCCCTGAAAGTGCTCAAAAAACCTCTAGATGTGGCACTTGGGGATATGGTTTAGCAGTAAACTTTACAGTGCTGGGTTAATTGTTGTACTCAATGACCTTAGAGGATTTTCCCGACCTTAATAATTCAGTGATTCTGTGATGTCTAGGACCACTTAGGAAATCGAGGAGTTCAGGTGGGATGCATGTTACTTCTGTTACAGAAGCTCCTAGAAGCTCATATGTTTTCCAGACCTCACTATCAGGAGCTGAAACAGGAGAAAAAAGCAGAGGGAAGGAGAAACCAATTTTCCCTGCCCAGGAATGGAACAGTGTCTCCCGAGTCCCTTCCCCGTGTTTTCTGCAGGCATCAGCATTCAGGAGTCTCCCTCTACCTGGGAATGCCCAAGGCATCAGCCAGAGTTCCACCACCATGTGTGAATGTCAGTTCTCCTGTCTCCACAAATGTCTGCCCTACTCTGGAGAGCTTCCCAGCTTCATTAATATCTTAATCCCAGCCTTTATTATTTTTTTTAATCCCAGTGTTCACACATCACACTTTGCACAAAGGGCAGTGGCTGTGGTGGCCACCCTCCATGGGAAATGCAGGGTTTGCTGTGTAGCTTTTCCAGCCCCTTGGATGCCTGCGGATGTGCCCGGGCATTTGTGTGTGGGAGCCTGGGCTGGATGTGGGGTGGGAGCAGGCTCCTTCACTGGCTCTCACTCTCGAAATAGCCATGTCTGCTTTACACATGCCCGCCTGGTGGCTCAGCTCCTGTAAAAGGAGAAGAGAAAAGCTGTTTGAAAAAGACAGGGAGCTCTGAGCCAGAGCTCTTAAAGAGCCCAGGTGGGGAGAGCTGCCAGCATGCTCCCCAAGCTTTCCTCTCCTCTCCTCTTCTCACTGCACTAGGACCTGGAGCAGACATCGCTCCCAGGGTGCTTGTTGGGACGTGCCAAGAGCACACTGCTGCCTTTCCAAATATAGCCCTGCACACAGAGGTGGAGGCAGCTGCTCGGGGTGTGGGGATGGCCAAGCTTCCCCGATTCAGATCTGAAACCACCTCAGGAACACGATCTGTACAGGGGATTAAACATTCAGCTGGTGCGACATGGAGCGATGGTGGGGCTGTGTTGACCTCCAAAACCCCCAGTGTGCTGGATGAAGTGGAAATCAAAAAGTGCCCCCACTTGGCATGCTGTGAGCAGGGGACACAGTTGTGTCCCCCTTTGTGCAGCCACTCCACCGTGACTAGCAGGGCTGGGAGATTCCGAGGAATCCATGAGCTAGGAATTTTTTACTTAGTTTGGAAATAGCTTTGCAAATGACTGGTTTCCACAGGCTAAACTGTTTGGATTTTGCATTGCTTTCTCAGTAACCCAGCTGTATTTTTTCCTGCCCCAGCAGTCTGTGGAATAGTTTCTGGTTGGGGAAATATTTATTCCATTTGCTTCATTAAGTGACTGCTTTTACCGCTCCAGTTCCTCACCCAGCCTCAGTCCTTGATCCTCCTGGGAGAAAAACAGATGCTTGTGCTGAGGACCTCATCTCTCTAAATCTCACTGGAAGCTGTGCTGAGCCCACTGGGATCCAGACACTGGGCTCAGTGCTGCCAGAGCCAGGATGCCAGCCTGCAGAGCATGGGCCATGTCACTGCTGCCTCACAGCTTCAATTCTTCAACAAGAAAGCAGAGTTACCTTTGGGTGCATTTATAGGTCTTTGCAATAAATACACATTTTGAAGTCATGCCTCCTTGGCTACAGTCCCAGCTCAGGCAGCAGGTAATGCTGTAACACTAAACCAGGCAGGAAGGGTTAAAATTACCTTTAATTAACTACTTCCCCCCAGGTTCCCCCTGCTGTAAGAGTATACAGCCCTGGCAGTGTTATAACCCAGCCAGGCTGCTCCTGTGCCTGTCCAGGCATCCTGGCAGTCAGGAGGAGTGGTTTACACTCTCCTATTCCCCATGCAGAAAAGCAGCAGGAGCACTGTAATGCTCTCAGCAAAACCATTGTAGGAGCCCGGATAGGGTTTGTAGCCATCACAGAGGCTTCCTAGAGCTGTGTGTGTGGCACAGGAGCAAGCTGGCAGCTTGTCTTGCAGCAGAGAGCAGGGCAAAGAGAGTGCTCAAACCAAAACCTCTCCCAGGAATTTGTGTGTGCTTTGGCTGGGAAGCACCCTGTCAGGAATTGGGTGAAGAGCAAACAGCTCCCTGCACATTTCCTGCTTGCTTCTGCATCTGACACAGGGTGATGGTATCAGTGTGGGGGAGCAAAGAATGCTCCGGAAAAACAATCTCCCTTACCCAAAATAGCTTGTGGAACGGTTGCTGGCAGTGGAATGCAAACCATCCATGCTGCTCAGCACCATGCCAGCAAACCTGCCTGGTGCCCCAATTCCTCACCAACAGGTCTCCATGTCACAGGCTGTAATTATCTTGTGTTCCCAGCCTGACTGTGGGGCGTTTGCCTGTAATTAGCTCTTGGGATTTAGGAGCTGGTATGATCCGGGGTTATCGTTAGCCACCGCTGCCGTGCCGGGATTTAAAGGGACAATGCTACTATTTGAATATCTACCACCTCAGCGTGCTGTCATACAGTGCATTAAATAGAAAGATGAGTCTCTCCTCAAAGCCTACGAGTGACCTTGCCCCCCACAGAACCCTTTTTGGACAGAGTTGACGCAGTTCCAAGCAAAGCAGGACAGCTTGCTAGTATTTCCGCTGTGACTTCTTGATCTTTGGCATTACCTTGGCTCTGGTGTCACCCCAGCTCAAGGCCCTCAGTAAAGGCTGCAGTCCGCCCCTAGAAGCCCCTGTAGCTCCGCACTGCACATCGTGTTTCCTTGCAAACCACCATTCTCCATTTGAAAGCTTCCCAGCTGTCCCCCCTACTCTGCTTTTTGCCCCAGGGGTGTCAGGCAGGGTTCCCAGAGTGCCCGATGCCGGCACGTACTCACCAGGTCTAGGGAAGCCAAGGCAGGGCAGCCCGCCAGCCCGCGTCCATCTGCGCTCCTCTGCGGTCCCGGTGGTTTCGGCTCATCCCCTCTCCTGCGACACTCCAGCAGGCAGAAATAGCCCCAAAGCACGTGCCGCCTTCTGGGGAGCGATGCCAGGGGCCAGGCAGCCCCAGCACCTCAGGCACAGCCTCCCCTCAGGGGCTCCTGCTGGCACCAGAGTGTCCAGCCCAGCACAGTGCCAGGGCACCCTCCGGGTATAGCTCTGGTGAAGAACATCTTCATTTATCCACCAAGATAATAAATTCTGCCTTAGAGTTTCTCACCTGGCAACAGTCACCAAGGAAACGAGAATGGCTGCTGCGGGTCCCCACTGGTGTTGCCTGGGGGGTCCCCATGGCCACGGCATAGGGTCTTCAGCTGCACCCTGTCTGGTCATCTGTGTGGGCGAAGGGCCAGTCACTCGCTTGTAACCTGAGCCCAGGCACAGCAGAACGCCCATCGATGCAGGCTTGGCCCTTGCACCACCTCTCCAGAGCCGAGTATGGGTTTCACTAGATTTGGGGTGGATTTTGAGGTTTTTCTTGGCTGTTGATCCCAGTGTGTGTGCACTGGGAGGAGTGAACTGGAGCTTCCTCAGGCTCACAGGGGTTTTCCCTGTCCCTGGCGCTGGTTTGGCCAGGGATTTTGAACACTTCTGTTAAAAACAGTAGTACCCCAAGTGCTCAGAGATCTCTGGAAATCCACTGGTACCAGAGGGAGATGAGATCTTGCTACCCTACAGGAACCCAAGCCACTGCCTCCAGGGCTGCCTGACACATGGCACTTCTCTATTTATAGCAGCTGTGGTCATGCCTCCTCCCATCCCCTGCCAGGATGTCCACTAGCAGTGCCATCCCTAAGCTCAGAGGCAGGCACTGTCATTTCCAGCAAGTAATTTCAGACCTGGTACAGCTAATTCTACAAAAAGCATCCCAGCCCCATGCTGCCTGCAAAGCTGGCTCTGACACTGGTCCCAGCAGTCGCTGGCACAGGCACAGAAACAACCAGGAAAGGCCATCAGGCTGGGGATAGGGTTCTGCCCCTGGGCCAGGCTAGGGTAGCTGAGGTGCAGCCACTGCCACACCATCAGTAGCACAGGGGTGACCAGTCACACCAAATATGGCTGTGATGTCGGAACAGAAACTTCCTCTATCAACCATTAACCATGCATGGCTCCCTGCCCATGGCACTGCTCTGGGGCAACTCCCTTGCCCAGGGCAGGTGCTGAGCTTCCCAACAGCATGTGGTGCTCGAGAGAAGTGCATGGGGCTGTGCCCATCCTGGGTCTGCACCCCGAGGGCCATCCTGGATACAGAGCAGCATCTCAGCATCTTTGGCTCGTGAGTGGGATTTAGCTGGTCAAGGTAGTGCTGTTGGCACTGGGTGGTTTAGCATGGACCACTGCGAGCCAGTGGCCTTCCTGTTTGCTCCACAGTATGGCTTTTGAAGGCTCTCCTTGTCCCTCTGGACCCCACTTCCCCACCCAGAGCTCCTGCAGCTCAGACTTCCCTGTGTGATTTCTTCTCCTCCACAAGCAACAGTGGCAGCATGCCAGGGAGGGCAGCTGCTGCTGGAGAAAGCACCAGGAAACCTGAGAAGCAAGATAAGAGCTTCAGAGTTACAGATCAAGGAGCTGGGGCTTTTTTCCTCCACTGTTATTTGAGGGTCTGCACCGCCTCCCTGCTCCCAGTCAGGCTCCTGAAGGGGCTGGCCAGTGATTCTGTCCCAAGCAGCACGGGACCAGCTGCCACTCAGGGGGCATTCACGCCTCATTAGGGCATGAAATACAAGCAGTGAGCAGTGATGTCCCCCAGCCCGGCTCAGAGTGGGCCCTGGGGGGGCAGCAGCTCTGCGCACATTGTGAAGCGGATGATCCTTGCAGGGGCTGCAGAGAATACACACAAGGATTAGGCAGCAAGGAGCCAGGGACACTATTCCTTAGAAGAGGAATTAATTCAGCTGGAAACCCCACATCAGGCCACCACAAGCCATTTATGCCGGCCATGGAGGCACGAGGCTGCCCAGCACCACGGGGGGGTGCAGTGAGGTGGGTGATGCAGTGCCCTGTGCATCAGGCAGTCCCACGACACACAACGTCCCAGCAGCCACTGGCCTGGGCCGACCCACCAGGATTAAAGGGCCTGCAGGAGTAAGCAATTTAAATCCAGATTAGATTTAAGCAGCTGCTACGCAAAGGGGATGTGAGCACAGTGGGGACGAGCAGGTGAGAGGCTGACTGGCACCCCTGCGATGCAAGGGGCTGTCAGGGCAGGGGCTGTCAGGGCAGGGTCCCTCTGGCAGGTCTGTGCCCATGGGGCATTGCCCAGAGGGACGGATTTTATTCCCAGGTTTGGCTTGTATGCACCAGGCTGGAGGCAGCAGTGCTGGGCCGTGGGACGGGGCACCCCGGGATGAGATGCTCCCAGCCATGGGGAGAGAGCACAGGCAGGAGGATGAACCACAGGGACGCGCTGGGCTGCTCACCGCGTAGGTGCCGAAGAGAGGCCATCCCTCCACACGGGGTTGCAGACCATGTTCCACCTCTTCTCCCACTGCTGGTCGTGGCTGCAGGCCATACAGGAGCCCATCAGGTAGGTCACTGTGCCTGCTCCTCGGGACTCCCAGGGGGCACAACTTTTACCTGTGTATTTATCAGTGGTGAGGGCAGCAGTGTGGTAACAGGGTGAGAGTGGTGCCCATTGCAGGAACTGTCCCCAGCCTGCTGAGCAAGGCACAGGTGTGTCCTCCCTGTCCCCTGAGCATGCAGGAGCTGGGCAGTCAGGGGAGCAGGCTGGGCAAGGGTGCACATGCAGGAAGTGCTCCCAGCAAGATTTCCCCTGTGCAAAGTCAGCAGCTCCCCAAGAAAGAGGAGGAGGATGCACTAAAACACTGCTGTATCTGTGTGTGTCGGGACACCCAGGTTAATTACCCTGGGACAACACTGCAAGGGGGTTTATGGTCCTCTCCCTCAAGAGAGGAGACCTGACCTGCTGAAATGCTGGAGGTGGAGCCATGCCACCCACACAGCCTGGTCTATATGTTTAAGGGAGAAAACTATACTGCAAATGACTACTGTGGCTTGTCAGTCACAGGGAAGACTTTCTCTGTGTGCTCTGGTGGAGCACATTGCTGGAGTCCAAATAGGACTGTTTGGCAACAGGAGAAACCACCTGAGTCCAGGTAGAAGCTTGTAAAAATGCCCTTGCTATCTCTCCCTAGCTGTGTATACTCATAACTTACTTCCAAGGAAGGAGTAATCATTGACTGCATATAAGGAAGAATCATGTTGGCCTGTGTAAACCATTGCTTAATCCTATATGATTTGAAAATAAATCCTTGCCATAGGAAGCACCTTGAAGGCTCTGCAGAGTGGCTGTCCAATGGTGTTGGGGTGGCTCCAGGCACTTGTGCCTGCCCTCACCTTTTCCCAGGCATCAGAGCCCATCCCTGCCCTTGCCCTCAGCTCAGCCAGAGCCTGTGTCACTGTCCTGCACCTCTCCTGGCTGAAGTGCAGCTGCTGTGGGCAGGGTCCCTTGTCTAGAAACCTGCTGACCTGCAGTGGCCACCACTCCCCAGGGAGCACAGCCTTCCTCTGGGATGCTCAACTGCTGTTGTCACTCTGCAGAAAGGTGACCCTCCTTGTCGTGGGGCTGGACAATGCAGGGAAAACCTCTGTCATCACGGACATAGAGAAAGGTGAGGAGCAGCACCAAAGCCGGCCTTAGCTAGAGGCAGCAGCTTTATGGTCCTTTGTAACCAAGTGTCCAGGACCCCTAAAGTACATCCACTGTTCTGGGGAAGTGTGCAAAGCTCCGGCTGTGGCCCGGGCAGCTCTGGGAGTGGGAGCAGGGATGTGGCTGCAGGGGGAGGAGGGACATGCTGCAGGGAAGCTCCCGGGCTCCTCTGCCAGCTCTCTCCCCTCTCCCCACACACAGCGCTGTCTGGGAAGGTGCTGCCCGACGCACAGCCCGGCCAGACCCGCCTGCAGGTGGAGAGGTTCGAGGTGACGCTGGTGGATCTGCCCGGGGGGCAGCGCTCCCGCAGTTCCTGGCGCAGCCACTACAGCGAGGCCCACGGGCTCCTCTTCGTCCTGGACTCCAGTGACCTGGAGCGGATGGAAGAGGCCCGCAAGGTCCTGAATCGCGTCCTGAGCCATCCCGACATTTCCGGGAAGCCCCTCTTACTGTAAGGCTGGTCAGCGGGATGTGACCTTTGGGGTTTGGGATGGTGGGGGGAGTGGGAACCTGTTGCTGGGTTGAGTGCACGGGCTGCTGCGGGGGCGTGGCGTCCGGGGAGCTGTCGAGGGGAACTGGGACATGAGGACCACAGTGGCACCTGGGATATGGAAGCATCCCTTGAGAGGAGCTGCGGAGGGGGCTACAGTATCAGGAGAGGACTGGGGCAACTCCTCGCCTAAACTCAGCCAAAGTGGGAGAAAGCACCCTGCCTCCCCCGCTGTCGAGCAGCGAGGGGCCCAGAGGCCGGGGTGACGGCCGCGCTCCGCCCTCTCCATGCCCCAGGCTGGCCAACAAGCAAGACGTGGCGACTGCGCTGCTGCCCTGCGAGGTGATCGAGCGGCTGTGCCTGGAGCGCCTGGTCAACGAGAACCGCTCTCCCTGTCGCATCGTGAGTGCGGGGCTGGCCCCGCTCCCTGCTCCCGGTCAAGGAGGAGCTGCGCTCCCCGCTGGCCGGGCTGACCCCCCGTCTGCCCGCAGGAGCCCTGTGTCGCCAAGCGGGGCCCTTCCGCCGGCCCGGCCCGCGCCACCCTGCAGGGTCTGCGCTGGCTCCTCCGCGCCGCCGCCGCCCCGGCCCCGCCGCCCGCCGAACCCGCATCGCCCGCGCCGAGGGCAGCCCGAGCCCGCCGGCCCACCCGCAGGTGCGTGAGGGGCTCCGTGGGTGCGTGTCCCCGTCCCCGTCCTCGTCCCCACAGCGCTCGACCTCAACCGCAGCGTGCTCTCTCCCCAGGGACCGGCCGCCCCCAGGGGAGGATGCTCGAGAAGCTGCGGGGAAGAACGGGGAAAACCGGCCCCTGCGCCCCGTCTGCCGCCTCCTGCCCCTGGTGAGAGAGTGAGACCCCAGGGGTGGGACGGGGTGGAAGAGGGACTGCTCCACTTTCCTCTCATCCTCCTTATCCCGCCCAGGAGGAGAGCACTAAGGGCCCCAGGAGGAGGAAAAAGAAGGTGAAGGTGAAGAAGAAGGGCTTGGGGCAGCCAAGCCCAGCTGAGGAGCCAGAAGGACCAGGAGAAGGGGACAGCCATACAGGGACCACTGGAGGGCTGCTGCTCCCCAAGAGGGTCGGGCAGGAGGAGACTGTGCCCACCAGGATGACCACACTCCACCCAGGTGAGAGGGGGCTGTGGGGGGCTGCCAGCACTGCCAGCATGAGCATGTCAGGACCCCCTATGAGTAGGGTTTGGAACCTGGCAATACAGCAGAATGCTGGACCACTGGTCCCCGCCACCCCCGTTAGCTTTGCTTGCAGACCAGCAGAGTGCAGAGCGAGGTCACAGGAGTCTGAAGGGGAAGAGGAGAAACACCTCTGAGCATCTCAGTAAGAAATGGTGCACAGAAGCAATGAAGGACCGTGGACCCATCACCAACAGTCCTCTCAGGTGGTTCAATGACAAAGGCATCCTTGTTCAGGTGTGGTGCCTGAAATTTTGTGTTTCTCTATCCAGTGCAGGGCATGAAAAAGAAAAAGAAGAAGAAAATTAAGAATAAAATTAAGTCACGGGAATCTTCTGTGGAGCAGCAGCACGAGGAAGTCTCAAGCACCTTTGGTTGGTATTTCCCAGGACAGATTTTGCTGAAAGCATCAAGGGGTCTGGCCTGCTGGCAACGGGGTGTGAGCTGCGTAGGGACACCTGGTCATGGGGTGCTTGGTGTGGGGACATGGGCAGAAGCAAGTGCTGCTTCAGGGCAAGGTGGTGGCTGTTGGGGCAGCAGATGCTGCTGCCTCTGCCATGAGGTGGAATGAGTGCACTGTGCTGGAGGCTGAGTTGTCCTTGAAGCCCTCACTCAGCACAGGTTTCCAGGTGGGTCCTGGAGCTGGCCCTTGGTCAGTGCTCGACTGCTTCCCTTCCTTGCAGACCTGTACCGCCGGGCGATGCTAGCTCTGAAGATGCGGCAGGAGCAGAGGAGGCAGCTGTCTTCTATCGCCCCCTGAGCAGGGAAGGCACAAACTAGGGGGTGTGTGGTCCTAGAGAACCCAGACTGCAGTAGCAGTGGGATCCCAGACTGAAGTGGTGGTAGGATTCGTGCAGGGCTGCTGGGGTGCTTTTCCAGGGCTGGCAGTCCTGGGCAATAGGTTCTGGGGCATGAACAGCATCATTGTCCTTGGCGTGGCTTGGAAACTGGACATTTGCAGGGACGAGCCAAAAGTCCCTTTGTAAGACGCTTCTCTGGCAGCTAGGCTGCAAACCCATCTGAAAAGGGAACAGCCAGACACTTGCTGACCCCTGTTAGTATTCTGTGGAAGACTCCATCTAAACCCAGATTAGCCTGTAGGAAGATCAGAGCAAACATCCCAGGGGAAAAAAACCTTCATCTTGAATTGACCTATGTCCTAGGAAAGCTGCCTTCACAGGTCAGGGGCTGACTTGGCCTGTCAATCAGTCCCTGCCTACTACCTGGAACAGTCTAATTTCCCAGTGGTGAAGATGGGAGGGCAGTCCCAGGTGGTCTGCAGAAGGTCTTCACCCAGCCCACAGCCACATCTGGCAGTGCTGTCAGGACTCCCCTCACATGGTGAAGGAGGGTTATGACCATGTTTGTGCACCCAGTAGCCTGTCAGTGAAAGTTTAAGTTCAGTGGCAACTGGTGGTAGAGGCTACTGGAGGGTCCTTCCCCAGGATCATTCTTCCTGATGCTGCCATCCTCCCAGGAGGGACAGTGGTGACCTGCAGGAAATGCAAAATCCTCCCATGTCACTGGCAGCCTGGCACACTACAGCCCCAGGCAGCATTGCTCTGTGCTCAGCTCAGCTCTGAGACAGGACAATAAACAACATTTGCATGCCAACACAACCCATCTGTGACACAAGCCTGTCACAGGGACTGAGCTGTGCCAGAGGACTGAGCTTGTGCTGCCTGGCTCCAGTTGGGTGTATGTGCTGAGAAACCAATCCTCAGTCCTGGAAACACTTTATGTGAAGTCAGGATGGAACAGTTTTCTCTTAAAACTTGCAACAGTGTTAGGACCTGAACTGTACATTAGTCACTACTGTTCCCATGATAACTGATTAACAGGCTTTTGTGGTCCACATGGAAGGAAAATCACTGAAACCCCTGGAAGGGCTGAAAAAGGAAAAGAGGAGAAACTGTGGCTACACTGCCTTGTCTGCCTGCTATAAAGTTTTGTCTAAATCTGCTGGAATCAACTGTCAGAGACTATAAGGATTCACTGTAAATAAACTGTAAATAACAAGAGCACAAATTAATACTGGCCTGTAAATACACCACTTTTAGCAAACCCTTGTCTCTGTCTGATGGAGTTCCCTGCGATGTCAGTGCTGTGGGCAGGAGGGTAGAGAAGGGACCTGCACCTGTGGAGTCCCTTCTCCTGGGATAGGTCAGGACTATGGGTACCCCTAGGGGGCCAGTCCAGGATGCTAGACAGGTTCTTTCTACTGGCGTCACAAATCTCCACAGGATCACTGGGAGAGGAACATTAAAAATCTATCCACTCTAACAGCCACTTCTCACGCACCCACTGCGTCTGGGAGGAGGCCAAGCTCTCCCAAACAGCTGGAATCCCAAAACAGTCCATGGCCCACTCGCTGTGGCTCCAGAACCACGTGGGGAGTGGGAGCTGAGCGGGTTTGGGACCATCCGGCACAGACGGCTGCAGCCAGCTCCCTCTGGTGATCCCTGCAGCTCCCAGCACTGCAGCTCCTCGCACGGGCAGCCGCGAAGGGACACGGAGTGCCCTGTGTGGCACCCACAGCCAGAGAGGGTGGCCAGTGAGCCAAGTCCAAAGGCAGAACTGGCCCAGATGGTGCTGCTGGGCAGCATGGCTGGTCCCATCACCTCACATCAACATTGCTTTGCACAATCAGATTCTTTCCTGATGCCTGTTATCATATCAAAGTTTAACTGGGTGAAGACAAGATCAGGTGATGAAGCTGCCAGCCCCTCTGGCTGCATCCATGGCCCTGTTGTTCTTTCTTCCATGTCATTACACTTCACTTTTTGCCCAGTGACCGGCCTTAACCAGCAATTATACTTTACTTTATAACACCTCTTTGCTCCTCTCTACCCCCAGGAGGGGATGGGGAGGGTGATCTTGACTCTGAAATCTCCTCTAAGAACCTGTGATTTGTCCCAAGGACTTGGACAGGGCAGATCCCCCCATGGCAAGCTGGTCTTGGGGTGTATAGGTATCTCTTCTGCTATATATCCACTGTTGTTTTATTAATAAAAACTCCATTGTGTGTTTTTATCGCTGTACAAGTGTTTCCAGAGGAGTGTGTGTGAACCATTGTGGGTCTCACCATTGTTTCCAGTTTTCTGATGGAGACATCCTTTTGGAGTCAGCCTTCCTAGCACCTGGAGCAAGGATGCCCCATGCTCTGAAGGGCAGGACAAGGAAGGTGAGCCTGGTCCTGGGATGCTCCAAACATCAGGGAGCCATGGGGTGGCACAACCCAGCAGCAGCCAGGCCTCATGAGGGAAAAGAACTCAGCAAAGACACAGAGACTTGTGATTGTGTGAAAAACATGGTGGTTCTTTGTCCACTCCTTCACTAACCCAAATTTAAAGAACAAGGAGCCATGAAGTAGTTTTGGAGAGCATCTCAGACACTGGAATTTGAACACTGACTTAAGGCTGTCAAGGCAATCTAGTGCAAGTGCAAGTGATCCAGGCTAATGGGTGTTTTGCAAGGCAAATGGAACCAGTCACATCCTGTGGGGTGCCTGCAGGTGGTTCTTGTTCCCCACCAGCTTACCCATAAATCCCATCACCTGTTCTAGGGCATATATATACAGCCAGGGAAAGGACACAACTTTCCTAGGAGACAGACTTTGGGGCTTGGGGTGGTTTCCTCTCTGCTTTTGGTTAAAGGTAAAGACATTAAAAGACATTAATGAAAAATCTCTTGTCCCACAGCAGTCGTGGCTCTGGTGGGGAGGTGAGCAGTCCATGCTCCTTGACTTTTTCATCCCTGGGGATAGGGCTGGAGGTATCACAAATGTGCTGGTCAGACAGTGCTAAGGGGTGGGGCTTTTTCTCAGGTTACACTGTTGTCTGAAAGCTGGTTACACTGTGTACATACTTAAATAAACATGTATAAGCAAGCTAAGTGGATTTTAAGCCTGGGCATTGGTGTTTGGGTTGATAAAAGCCTAGGGTGGATGGTTTTTTGAGCTTGAGAAGCTGGTTGCTATGTACACTTTCTCAGGCATGCAGCACCTACTCTCTGACTCTGACCTAGGTGGGCTAGGAGCCAGAGTGTCCATGTGGAATTTTCCTAGCTGAGACAGGCAAAGCAAGTGTTGAGAAGCACTTTTGCTTTTTTTCTAGATGAACACAGTGGGGCCCCACTGACTTTCATGGGGACTTTCAAAATATTGAGCTGAGAAATGCTGGCATATGATATTGGGCAGCTCTCAACACATTGAATAATGAATAACCGTGCATGGGTTTCCTTGGGAGTTTTGTTATCAGTTGTAGATCCTCCATTGTATTGCACTAAAAATGAGAGTTGAAGTGTTTGCTGTTTATGTGTTCTGTGGAACTGTTAATAAAATAAGGCTGAATTTGGTGAAAGTAACTCCCTAAGCTGCTCTTAATACTTACGAGTCTATCAAGACTTTGTAGAGAAAGAGAAGATAATGATGACTGGAAATTGAGAAAATATAAAAATGTTCCTGTTCTAGGCTAAAT